AGGATGATCTTTGCCTGAGCAACTTGTTTCATGGACCTTCTCTGCGCGCCTACTGCGGTTTAACCCCACTTGTCAGCTACAATAACTTCAGTTTAGTTTAGTTCAGGGGTGTCCAACCTTGGCAACTTTAAGACTTTTGGCGTGAAGGATTTCAACAGGGTGAGAAGTGGAAGTTGATTCTTCAAGAGCTGAGGAGAAGGGGAGAAAGAGAGAGAGGAGGAGGTGGAGGTGGGATTTTTTTTGGGGGGGTGATCATTGCTGCTCCGTGGGAAGGACGCGCCTTCCTTTCCTTGCCGTTTGCCCTCCGAGGAATGGATTTGATCCAGCTTTGGATTGTTTTGCTCGCAAGCTGCGAGCCACCCCCACCCCCGCCTGGGCGCGTCCAGATTGACACCGTCCCGCTGTGGTTTTTTAATGGTTTTGACCAGAGGTGGTATTCAGCAGGTTCTGACCAGTTCTGGAGAACCGGTAGTGGAAATTTTGAGTAGTTTGGAGAACTGTCCAATACCACCTCTGACTGTCCCTGCCCCCATCTATTCTCTGCCTCCCATTGAGTCCCAGCTGATTGGCTGGGTCTTCTTTGGTTGCCCTGCACAGAAGAACAGAGCTGGAAAGCAGGTTAGTGGGATGGGGAAAGAATGGGGATTTTGCAGTATCCTTCCTCTGCCACGCCCACCAAGCCACGCCACGCCCACAAAACCAGTAGTAAAAGTTTTTTAATCCCACCACTGGTTTTGACCTTCCTTCCTTTTCTTCTTCCTTCCCCTCTTTCCTCCTTTTTCCTTCCTTGTTCTCTTCCCTTCTTTTCTTCTTTTACTCCCTCTTTCCTCTTTCCCTTTCTCCTTTCCTGGCCCTTCTTGCATGCTCAAATGCAAGAGGGAAAACGTTTCTCCTTTTGTTTTGTTTTTAGTTTGTCTCGATAGCCCTCCAGCAGCAAAAATGGAGCCCGGGGGAGGAGCACGTGCGCCCACCCCGCACTCCGTTTTCATCTGCAATGGCCTCCTGCAGCCCTCTGCCTATAAAAATGGAGCATGGGGGGGACACACGTCCCCCCCCCAAGCTCACTGACTGAGGCACTATGGACTGGTGGCCCCGTGGGCCAGATCCAAGCACACCGCGGGCCAGATCTGGCCCCCGGGCCTTGAATTTGACACCCCTGCTGTAATTGTTTAATGCATGTAATACTTATTTGACTTCCCTGCTTCCTCAGGACGCCATCACAGGGACTTCTGAGGATCCATCACAAGATGAGCTCCTTAAGATCGGACAACATGCAGGCTCTTCTACAAATTTTTCTTTGCTTTGTGCTTCTAGCAACAGGTAAAGAAGGCTTTTGCTTGGTGCTTAGTTGTTCAGCTGGACAAACGGAATCGGATCCCAGCTGGAATGGGTGTAGAGCCATGCTTCCCCATTATTTAAGACGTGTGGACTTCAACTCCCAGAATTCCTGGCTGCTGGCTGAGGAATTCTGGGAGTTGAAGTCCACACGCCTTAAAATGTTCTGACCCAAACCCTTGTTCAATAAAACAAACACGAACCAAAGGGAACAGAAACCTTTTAATGATTCTTACGAATCCCCACTTAAAAGGCTGCTGCAAACTACTTAACCTGGATAAGCACGAGCCTCGCCAAAACTGTGCGAGGCTGCCAAAAATAACAGATAAAGTTACCTAGAAATATTTTACAACACAAGAGTCTTCAAATACAAACTCAGGATACTGAATGTCCATGAGGCTGGAGTTTCAAAACGTCTTTGCCTTCTGCAAAGAATGTTCATTTCACAGCTGGCTTTTATCCTCTTGAGGGAGGGGCCATTACCGTGAAGTCTTACTCCCCAGTCGCTGCTCTTTTCTGCAAGCAACTCTGCGCTCACGCGCACTTAGCACAGGCTCCTCGGGAACTTCCTCATTGCTGCTGCCAGCCCCCACAATCTCTGAAGGCAGCAGTCCACTCCCTAATGGTCTTGGCCCCTCATCTGAGTCCTCGCTCTCCTCAGCCGTCCGCACCTGCTGCCGGCTAACCACAACATAAAATGGTTACAGTTGGGAAACTCTGGAGTAGAGACCCAAAGGTGTTTTTTCAAGAGGCAACTGGACTTCCTGGTTTTCCTTTGAAGATGTTTCGCTTCTCATCCTAGAAGCTTCTTCAGCTGTCTGAAGCTTCTTTTCTTCTCTCTGAAGAGCTGAAGAAGCTTCTAGGATGAGAAGTGAAACGTCTTCAAAAGAAAACCAGGAAGTCCAGTTGCCTCTTGAAAAAACACCTTGGACAACCATGTCCTGGATGACAGAGAATCTCCATAGACATTTACCTGATGTAGAGAGTAGTATATCTCCCCTCATATAATACCCTAAAGGGGCAGCATTCAACTATATTGAACCAAAATGAGGTAAGAAGGCATGGAACTAACAGGCAGCCTTTGACTTTTATTTGATGATTCTATGGTTTCATAGTGTGGCCAGAACAAACACCACTAATCCCAAACTCCCTATTTTTTAATTGGGCATTTCCTCCGGGCTCCCAAGTCCAAGCTTCAAAAAAAAAAAAAAAGAAAAAAAAAGTCCTTGAAGAAAAGTATTTTTATTTATTTATTCATAAAAATTTATAGGCTGCCCATGTTACCTCAAAGGTAACTCTGGGTGGCTTACAACCATAAAAGAGAAAAACTATATGAAATAAAACCATAAATAAGGTAATCTGTATATATAAAAGTGAAAGACCACTCACACATTGTCACAAAATCTCCAGAACCATAAAGCCTACAAACTTGAAATGTGGCACATATGTTCCTCTTGACTTCTAGGTGCTCACTAAGAAAGGATTTTTCAAAATGACCATCAGAGCTTTAGTATTCCCAATATTATTATTAACAGGCTCTGATGCTAAGGAGTTCTACTCCCCCTCCCCACCTGAAAAGAAATCTGTTCCAAATGCAAAACACAAGCAAAGGAGAGGAGTTTCAGTTTCAGTTTTAGTTTCACAGCACCAAGCAGCTTTAGGACAGAACAATTGAGCTAAGCCATGCCCAGGCTATTTATATTATATTTGAATATAAGTATGAAGAGGTTGCTCAAACAGTGGTTGGGTTACTGAGTAACAGCACCGGATGCAAATACAACCTTTGTTTGTAGGATGCTGTCATCGTACAGACACCATGATTTGTTTATCTTCTCTTCTGGAAATTTCCATGCCCATGACTAAGTTGAAATGCTTTCCACCCATCATCACTCCCATGGAACCAAGGTTCCCCATGCACAAAGTGCCTTTTAATTCTGATCCTGCTGTATTTCCTAACATCCCTTCTTGGACAGCCATGGTAAGAGGAAGTGGTCACATAACAGTCAAGATGGCGGTCCCCAAACATGAGGACATCTACTCATTTCAACACCTCTGAAGAAGGGGAGCAGAGGTGGCCTTCAGCAGGTTCTGACCATTTCTGGAGAACCGGTAGTGGAAATTTTGAGTAGTTCGGAGAACTGACAAATAACACTGGAGAGTTTACAGTATCCTTCCCCTGCCACACCCACCAAGCCACGCCCACAGAACCAGTAGTAAAAAAAATTTGAATTCCACCACTGGGTGGGAGCTTCAATTGTGCAAACGCAACCACTGTTTGTACATTTTGGCACCTCCTTTGAGGATGCTGCTGAAAATGTCCTCATTTCCAGCCTCAGCCATAAAGAAGCACATGAAAATAATAGAATAGAATATGGAATGAAAATAGAATAGAATGGAATGGAATGGAGTGGAGTGGAATGGGATTGGAATAGAATAATAACTTTATTGTCACTTTGAATGTACACTAATCAGCATATATAAAAATGAAATTTCGTTGCAGACAGTTCTCGAAGGCTCACCACCTCCAATATACACTACATGAACATGACAAAATAAATGAATACATACATACCGTACATACATACATACATACAAAATTATGCATATACCCACATATAGTCTATGACATGGAGAAACACCACAGTCTAATTCAGATGTATACAGGTACATGGCAAGAAAAACGAACCTTGCAAGTTTACCAGATGGATGGCCTAGGGAACAAAGCTGGTACAGAATCTGGAAGTCCTGCTAGAAATACTTCGAAACCTCCTCCCAGAGGGGAGCAACAGGAACAGGCTGTGAAGTGGGTTTGTGGGGGTCTCTAACAATGCTTTGAGCTCTAAGCAGATAGCACTTATAAGCAGGGGTGAGATTCAAATGTTTAAACAACCAGTTCTGTGGGTGTGGCTTAGTTGGTGGGCATGGCTTGGTGGTCATGTGACTGGCTGGGCATGGCCAGCTCAACATCACTCACATCAAGGGGCGCTTCTCCTCGCCTGGTCTCTTGTGACGGTGGGGATACTGCAATGGTCGTGTGAAAAACAGTCATAAGTCACTTTTTTCAGTACTGCTTAGAAAGTTAACAACTGATTCTAGCAAATAGGTGCGAATCCCACCCCCGCTTATAAGCAGTATCCTGAATAACAGGAAGAGAAACATAATCGTTCATCAGTTAGAGAGCTCTGCCTCTAGGGTAATGTTTCTTCTTCCTTCTTGAAGATGTGTGGACTTCGACTCCCAGAATCCCCCAGCTGGCAAGTCCACAAGTTTTCAAGCTGCTGAGGCTGAGAAACACTGCCCTAGAGCGGCCCATAACTCGAACAGTCAAGTAGACAAACCAACAATAAACAGTACCCATATTGTCTTCTTGTCCTTTATACTATTTCTACTTTTTCTTCCATGGCCCTGTCGTTCACTGTTTATGAGCAAGGATTTATATGCTCTGGATAGTAAGAACATTGGTCTCCTCCTCCTCAACATCATCCTGCCCATTGCTCAAACATACTAATTGTCTTTGTCTTTGTCTTCCCGCTTCAAGGCAGTTGTTTGCAATGTGAAACCTGCCACAGCAACAAGACTTCCTGTACAGGTCCCATGGAGAACTGCACTGATGGAGACACCTGCGTCATTGGGATTGTGCAATCTTCTCTGGGTTGGTGCAAGGACCTGGAAACCAAGAAAATAATGTGGGGTGTGGGGTGTGTGTGTCGATGGGCGGATGGAAATTCCCGACTGCAGCAAGGCAACCTCCGCTTGTTGTATAGTTGGAAAATTCTCTACTTGTATTTCCAAGAATTCTCAGGTAGGCCAGATAATAGCATTTTGGGAGTTGAGGAAAACTTGTGCAAAGTACTGTTTCAAAGCTGCTTATAAAAGCTCTCTCTCTCTCACACACACACACCCTTTCTCCCCCTCTCTCCCTCCTTCTTTCTCTCTCTCCCCCTCGCCTTCTCTCTCTCTTTCACCCTCTTTCTCTCTCCCCCCCCTCCCTCCCTCTCCCCCCTCTCCCTCTTTCTCCCCCCTCTTTCTCCCCTCTCTGTCTCTCTTTCTCCCTCTCTCCCTCTCTTTCTCACACACATCATCACCTTCCAAGAGTAGAGAGTCTTCATCTCTGCTGCTGTCAGCACTACCACATTTCACTCAAGAGGTCAGAATCATTTGTACAGCATTCTTAGCGTGGTTAATTTTACCTTTGCTAAGTTTCAATAGAGGAGAATATTTGCAGCTTGG